CCATATATGCATGAACTAACACTTCATAAATGTATCACAGTGGTGAATAACCATTACTTAACCTTTATTAACCATTTGTTAATGCTCTCTGTGACCCTGTAAAGTCTAAAACATGTATTTATTAAGGAACACTTCATAAATGCATACAAGTGCTAAAAAATAATTTTTTAACCATAACTAATCAGGTACTACTGCTGTTTGTGACCCTTGAATATTTGAAGCAATCACACAGATACTGAATATTAGTGGAACATTTCTAAATGGAATTTAACTCGTCATAAGCATCTGTTATCAACATGATTCATTCCAAATTTAAAAAGATGAAGACTTCATGCAAAATCTGAAAAAGTGCTGTTATTTTATTTTAAAAATGTAACACTTAACAGTCTTAGGAATAACAAAACAGGGATTTTACAGTTTCACCGAAAAAAGAACTCTTCCTCATGTCCCTTGCACCTTATTTTGAGCAAAATCTTCATGTAAAGCCTATAAAACCATTACAAAACACCACCAAAAACAAATGCCTGAACATGGCAGTGAGGGCTTTATTCTCCTTCATCTGCTTTATGGTCTCTGAGGTTGCTTTGTCGGCCTCGACAGCTTCCTTGCATTGTTTTGCAGTGTCAGAAAGCTTGCTCCCCTTCACCTGTTGAACAAGCCGTGCATACTTTTATGGAGCAGCAATTGCCAACTCGGCAATTTCAGAAGTTTGTGAAATTGTGTTGCGATCCACTCCAAACTTGTTGAATGCCTCAGCCATTGTCTTGCCCTTTTGGAAGATGCCCAGCACTGTCTTATATCGACGCACCACCTCTGATGGTTCGCTAACTAAAAACAAACAAACAAACAAAAAAAAACTGAATGAGAATAAATTCATTGGAATAATGTATGGTAGACACATATCAGCTTAAATGAAGAACCTGGGAAGTGACAACACTAGGCTTTGGTACTGAGGTCCAGTTTCAAACCATCTGGAACCAATATGATCAATACTGATGGGGGCTTGTACATCCAAAATACAAGCTTCTCTACAAGATTCCCCACATCATTGTCCTGACACTAACTCATTCACTTTAAGCATTATTTAATCCAAAT